AGACTGACAGACTGACAGACTGACAGACTGACAGACTGACAGACTGACAGACTGACAGACTGACAGACTGACAGACTGACAGACTGACAGACTGACAGACGGACAGACTGACAGACTGACAGACTGACAGACTGACAGACTGACAGACTGACAGACTTACAGACTGACAGACTGACAGACTGACAGACTGACAGACTGACAGACTGACAGACTGACAGACTGACAGACTGACAGACTGACAGACTGACAGACTGACAGACTGACAGACTGACAGACTGACAGACTGACAGACTGACAGACTGACAGACTGACAGACTGACAGACTGACAGACTGACAGACTGACAGACTGACAGACTGACAGACTGACAGACTGATTGACAGACTGACAGACTGACAGACTGACAGACTGACAGACTGACAGACTGACAGACTGACAGACTGACAGACTGACAGACTGACAGACTGACAGACTGACAGACTGACAGACTGACAGACTGACAGACTGACAGACTGACAGACTGACAGACTGACAGACTGACAGACTGACAGACTGACAGACTGACAGACTGACAGACTGACAGACTGACAGACTGACAGACTGACAGACCGACAGACTGACAGACTGACAGACTGACAGACTGACAGACTGACAGACTGACAGACTGACAGACTGACAGACTGACAGACTGACAGACTGACAGACTGACAGACTGACAGACTGACAGACTGACAGACTGACAGACTGACAGACTGACAGACTGACAGACTGACAGACTGACAGACTGACAGACTGACAGACTGACAGACTGACAGACCGACAGACTGACAGACTGACAGACTGACAGACTGACAGACTGACAGACTGACAGACTGACAGACTGACAGACTGACAGACTGACAGACTGACAGACTGACAGACTGACAGACTGACAGACTGACAGACTGACAGACTGACAGACCGACAGACTGACAGACTGACAGACTGACAGACTGACAGACTGGACAGACTGACAGGACAGGACGACTGACAGACTGACAGACTGACAGACTGACAGGACTGACAGACTGACAGACTGACAGACTGGGACAGACTGACAGACCGGACAGACTGACAGACCGACAGACTGACAGACTGACAGACTGACAGACTGACAGACTGACAGACTGACAGACTGACAGACTGACAGACTGACAGACTGACAGACTGACAGACTGACAGACTGACAGACTGACAGACTGACAGACTGACAGACTGACAGACTGACAGACTGACAGACTGACAGACTGACAGACTGACAGACTGACAGACTGACAGACTGACAGACTGACAGACTGACAGACTGACAGACTGACAGACTGACAGACTGACAGACTGACAGACTGACAGACTGACAGACTGACAGACTGACAGACTGACAGACTGACAGACTGACAGACTGACAGACTGACAGACTGACAGACTGACAGACTGACAGACTGACAGACTGACAGACTGACAGACTGACAGACTGACAGACTGACAGACTGACAGACTGACAGACTGACAGACTGACAGACTGACAGACTGACAGACTGACAGACTGACAGACTGACAGACTGACAGACTGACAGACTGACAGACTGACAGACTGACAGACTGACAGACTGACAGACTGACAGACTGACAGACTGACAGACTGACAGACTGACAGACTGGCAGACTGACAGACTGACAGACTGACAGACTGACAGACTGACAGACTTACAGACTGACAGACTGACAGACTGACAGACTGACAGACTGACAGACTGACAGACTGACAGACTGACAGACTGACAGACTGACAGACTGACAGACTGACAGACTGACAGACTGACAGACTGACAGCCAGGAATCACGTTAGCTCGCATTTTTGAAGCAACCAGCGGGGGCTCGCTTGAAGAGGGAAGCAGTTTTGGATTTGAGCGAAGCGGTTATTCACGGGGTCGCGGAGGTTGACGGTCAAACATTGTAATCGATAGGTAAAATAAGTATTGTAAGGAAAATGTACTATTTGTTAAGTTGTCTGATCTCGTATGGATTTGTTGGCCCTTGAAATGTCGGCTACTAGTCACGGTACTATGGATGCCGCCAAAAATATGCTGCGGTAATTCACAGAATAAAACGCTCACTACAGCCACGGCCTTAGGCCGTTGAAGTTAACCCTCTCTTCGTACCTATGCGTGTGGGCTAGTTGTTAAAGGCAACTCCATACGGTATAAGACAATATCTCTGCCATAAATTTGTATGTTGTCTGAACCTATGGGACCCGGAGCTTGATCCGGTTTGCCCTGATTTAGCCAATTTTTCTGTTTGATTCTCGAATCGGTATTTTGATTTCTGCTCGCGATTGGCATCGAAATTTTTTCCTTGACACTTGCCTCAGGCCTTTATGGAAACCCGTATTTTGATTTCTTAGCTTGACCGTCCTAGCATACGTGTCCGCAAATATGCTGCCTTCGATACTAGCCTCTGCCTCTCTAGATAATGCCAATGCTGATGGCAGATCTCTTTTCAAGATCTCTTTTTAAGACCCGAAAAATGTAGCGCGAGCTATAGTATCGAGTCCTGCGGATGCGGTCCAAGGGAGATTCCAGTTCGTCCTTGATTGTCCTCAGGGCTTGATACCAAAGGTTTAGTTTCGTTGAGAGTTAGTTTGTGTGAAATCAAAAACAAGCGTCTTCTAGTTTCGAAGTAAATTTCTAGACAAACTTCATATATTGTTCAGCGGTGGCCGAGAAGCCGCCGCCGGCAAAAGTGTACATAAAAATCTTATATACTATACATAAGTGGTTATACACTAATGCAAGATCAAATAAAGAAATGTTTATGCAGCAATCCGTTCGAAATGTTCGCTTGTGTCATATTTCCTGTGGCGAGGGGTCGGGGCATCCTGTTGCGATGTCAACAAAATTTTAGCGGGGCAACGACTCGAGTGGGTTGTCGTATATTATCAAGGCAATCAGTTTGAACAGGATATGGTGTTCATAGTTAACAGTTTTTGAAATAGTATTTTTAAAATTTTTAAAAAAATGGTTAATTATTTGTTGTGCTTTATTAATATAATCCGTAATATTGACAAATCTTGCTTTAATGTCGTTGTTAATTATCTCCTGTTTGTTTGCGCTTTCAGTTAGTTCTCTTTGATTTTCTGTAATTTTTTTTAAGTTGTTATCAATTCTCGCCCGTCCGCGTCGTGTAAATTTCCCGGCACTATTTTTACAACTTTACCTAGTCCATTGATAAGTCCATGTCTTTGTCTCTTTTTCGGTAATAACATTTCTACTCTGACTTTTAGTTGCTGAAGCTTCACTGATAGACTTTCAATTGCGGCATTTGAATCTGAGTTCTTTTCTAGCTGAATAATCGCTCTTTCGAAGTTAACCACGCCATCAATAAAATCCTCTAGATTAATTCTGTGTGTAAGGTATTTATGAGATTGTATAATTTTAACTGGTCCCAGATTTATTTTTAGCAAGGGGCTATTGAATCCTAAATGTTGGACTTTTAGGTCTTGGGCTGCCATTAACGCGAATCTGTAAGATCAATAGGAGTTGGGTTATTTTTAATTCTGAGTTTTATTTTAGCTTTGTGTAACTTTTTGTTTTCTTGTAGATAATAGTGTGATTTTGTTATCTTTCAGTACTTTATGTTGGGAAAAGCGAGGAGTGAGTTTGTTTCTTCTTCGTTTAAGTAATCTGTTTGGAATTTTGATTAATGCTTTCGACTCCTCTTCGTTTTCCATTATCTTAGAAGAACGATTTGGTCTAATACGCAAGGGCATTTTCAACGTTGATGTCGTGAAGGTTAGCTAGTAAATATCATTTATTGTCGGGAGTTCAGTACGTATGTTACGCCAATTAGTCCTTCAAAGAATTGGTTAAGGTTAAATAGTAGAAAAAGGGAATTTTCTTTGATCATTAATCTCTTCTCTGTCTGTTATGTATTTAAAGGTTTATAAAGGAGCCCTCTGCACCCGTATCTACCACGAATTTAAATTATGTTTGTCTTTCAATGAGAGTTCTATAGATGGTAGTTGGGCGTCCAATCGAAAATTTGCTCAAGAAGCCTGTTTATGCTTTGAGGCTTTTGACTGAATCATTTCCTTCTTCGTCAATGTTATGTGTCGCCTCTGTTTCGTCTGTCTTTGTTTCGATATTAAACATTCTTTGTCCGTTAGTCTGGAATCTGTTATTATTGGGGATTATTTTAGCTGCGGCATTCGACGTACCAAGTGTGTCATCGCTTGCCATGATAGCCGGGAATCTTTGATTACGGTAATTACTATCGTAATTCGACTGGTTATAAGTAGTCTCGTTATTTCGATTGTAACGATAATAGTCCCTGTTCTGGGGCTAGTTATTGTCCCTATTTTGGTATTGGTATTGGTATTTTGACCGAAAGCGATCGCTCTGCCCACTCGACTCCTTTGTTTTGCAACTAATTTGTTGCATTTTCCGCATAGTATAAACTCCTCTCTTTTACTGCCATGTCATATGCTTCCACTAATCCTGTAGGCTTAAAAGCTCGAACTATGCAGCTCAAATTTCCTCTTAGTCCAGCAAGGAAAGTTGTCAAGCTAGTTTGCGAAACAACTCTCTGCCTAACTCTAATTAACTCTGAACAAAGCTAATTTGATCTGTCACGGCTTGGCCGATAACGGGAACGCCTTATAACACTCGCAAATAGGACAATTGTTGAAGTGATGTGTAACGAGCGTTTTATTCTAAAAGACAATTGTTCTTAACCTGATACATAATTACTTATCCTACATACCGCAGTTTCTCTTCCCCTTCTGTGATGGCGCAAATCGTTGTGTTTTACCCGCCAAATATTGTATTCCTTTTTACCCGATTTTAGTGCGACCAAATAACCTAAACTAAATACTGACTTCATAAAAATCCTGACTATCGATAGCCTAATCCGTTCCGCGACATCCCCACCCCCGTGAAGCAGCCGCATTCACCACGTCCAGGACAGCTAGCTTCGAAGCGGGACGCATAGTCGTCTTGGCTCGATCGGTAGTCCGCACCGCTGCTCAACGAGGTACTCCATCCTTCCCGGTGAACACCTCTTCCACGACGCCTCGTCGATTCCAAAATCTCCGCCACCCGGTTTCCGACGAACTGTTTGTATATCCGGTGGGTCCACGAAGATGTGCAGCTGTAGCGTCCGCACTCGTCCGCCGCCAAAGTAGTGGCGCGGGCATCGGAACTCCTGGATCCGACTCATCCCTTGCCGCCAATCCTCGAAGGCTGCGGCCAATTCATCCGGTAGCGGCTCGTCCCAGTTGACTCCTCTCCGCCAAATCTCCCTCAGCAGCAGTTTGGCAGTCACCATGTAGCAGCTCAGGAACCCAATCGTGTCAAACGTAGACATCACCAGGCTTAGGAACTCCCTCTTGGTAGGGACTCGTTCCCCCGTCATCACGTTCCTCGGGACTCGATGGTACTTGACGCCGAACTTGAAATCATCGGTAGCCGGTTGCCAGTACATCCCAAGAACCTTCTCCTCAGCTTCGGTCCATCCGATGCTGGCGATGGACTCAAGTGGGTTCAGCGCTCTGACCACACTTGCCGAACTGGAGGTAAATCGGCACAAATCAAAACCTGCTTCAGCGTGAATTTCTCTCACCCGTGTCGAGATGGCGATAGCTTCGTCCTCGCTAGCGAAACTGTCGACGTAGTCATCCACGTAGTGGTATTCGTTGATGGCCAGGGCTGCTCGCGGGTCCGTGCTGCTATACCGCAAGGCATTACTGCCTTGTCATTACTGCCATCTCGTATACGTCCGGCTCTCGCTGGTCGTCTCCGTCTCTCCACAGAAACCTCTGGGCGCATCTGTCCTTCGGCTGCATCAGTACCTGATGAAACATCTCCTTGATGTCTGCACAAACTCCAACCGCTCCTTCCCGAAAATGGAAGAGCACTGCTGGGAGGGGCTTGTAGCGCTGTGGGCCTTTCAATAGCGCTGAATTCAAGGACACACCGTCCACCTTGGCAGCCGCATCGAAAACCAGCCGGATTTTCCTAGGCTTGTTCGGGTTTTCCACTTCGAAGTGCGGCAGGTACCACACTTTGCCCTCCTGAAACCTCTGGACTTCCTGGGCCTCCAGTCGTCGTGCGTATCCCTTCTTGACATAATCGTCCATTATCCGGATGTAAGCCGACGCGAAGTCCACATCGCGCTTCATTTTACGCTCTATGTTGACGAGCCTCCTGAGAGCCATGCTGTAGCTCTCCGGCAATCTCACTTCGTCGTCCTTCCATAGCAGCCCGGTCTCGTATCTCTGGCCTACGCGTTTGGTCGTCTTCTCCAGGGTGCTCAGGGCCCGAGCGTCGCCGCTATCTCCGACTGACGGCTCCAGGTCCACTCTGCCAGCTGCGACTGGCTGCACCGTCTTCGCTTCGAAATTCTCGGTCTCGAAGTAGTCGCTGATCATCTTCTCCAGAAGATCATCCTGGGGCACGGCTAGGAGGCACGAACTCAAAAGCGGCGAGCTCGGCTTTCCGTTCACCGGTCCATATACCACCCATCCAAGTGCGGTTTCTGCTGCAAACGGCCCTCCAGATCCATAACTTTTGGTTCTGAAGGGTACTCCTAAATGCGCATGATCCAGTCCAATTAGGATCCTCGGCGTCGCATTGTTGTACGGCATCACCGGCAGACGCGTGTTCGCCTTCACTGCCTGTACATCCTCCTGACGCAGGCTCTGCATCGGAAGGTTCAGATTGGCCACTCCGTACACATTTTTCAGCCCATGGCGCTTTGGTTTTCCCGCTGCGCTGATCTGCAGGCTGACCACCTTCGTGTGCTCTTTGGCGGATTTTCCACCAAACCATTGCACATTCAGCTGGCGACTCTCGCCTTTCAGGTTCAGGCTGCGGATGAGTTCGTCGTCGATGAGTGTGACAGACGATCCTTCGTCCAGCAGTGCGTACGTGTCGACCTTCGTATTCTCGCCGTTCAGCGTCACGGGTAGAATCCTGAACAGCAGGTGGCATCCAATTGAGTCGATGTTGAGGTTTCGGTGCGGCAACTCCTGGCGATCGTACGCCGATTGCCCTTCATCCCGCTCACGTCGCGCGTCTACAACTGCGGCTGACGTAGGATGGTTCCTTTCGCTGGAATCCACTGACCGTGGCACTCCCCTCCGATTGTTGCCGTCTCTGTACGGTTGTCGGTCCTGATCCCTTCTGTGGCCCCCATCTGCGACTGGCGGCCGTTTGGATCGTTCAAGTACTTCGTGGAGCAGGTGGTGATGCCTCATCTGGCATCCGAGGACGTTGCATCCGCGGCTCTTCCTGCAGAACCGGGACATGTGTCCGGGCTCCAGGCACGAGAAGCACAGTCGTCGCTTCATCGCGGACTCGATCCGTGTCGTTGTAGAGGCGCTGATGAAGTCCTTGCAGTCCCTGACCTGGTGCTGTCCCTCGCATATAGGGCAGCATCTGGGGCGGTCGACATATTGCTCCTCCTCGCGAACACTATTCGCGTGCAGAATCCTTCGCTTCGGTTGTTCCCTGGCTCCGGCGTCCGTGACAGTGCACACCAGTTTGGCGAATTCATGGAGCCACTCGCTCAGGTGCGCCACCGTCGGATACGGCTGTATCGTGGCCGCGTGCCTTGCCCAGTCCGACCTCTTGCTTAGAGGCAACTTGGCTATCAGCTCCTCCATAAGGGTTGGGTTGGCTAGGTGCTGGCTGCCGGTCGCGGTCGACTGCAGGAACGCTGACAGGTTGCTAACCTTTGTCGCGAACGGCACGATCCTCGCGATGTTGGCCTCCTGAATCGGCTGCACTTCGCTCACGCTCTCCAATTGGCTGCGGATCAGTTGCTCCGGGCGTCCATACCGGAATCGTAGCTGCTCCATAACAGCTTGTACGTTGCTGGGATAGATGAGCAACGACTTCACTGTTTCGCGAGCCTCTCCCTTCAGGGCTTTCACTAGCCTCTGGTTGTTTTCCAACTCGGTGCACTAGTAGGCTGCAGTTGTCTCCGTGAACGCACACAGGAATATTGGCCATTCCTCTGGCTGACCCTCGAAATCGGGAAGGTCAGGTAGTCTGCGTGGCGTCCATCCTTGTATGCTTGTCGTCGGCGCTCCATATGATATGAGCGATGGCGCAGGTACCTCTGGGTGAATATAACCTAGCACCGGCTGTGCTGCGGCAGTCACACAAGATGGCGGAGAATAGCGCGGTATTGTTGTTGTCGACACAGGTTGCCCGTTTGCCCAATGGCCGCCAAGCGTCGGCGCCAAATTCGCACTCCATTGTGGCGGCAAATTTGCACTTACTTGTGCCGGCAAACATGGCGGTGTATTCGCTGCACCGCTCACTCCAACGCCGCGTGCCCTGATTCCACCGGGATCTCTGGCGGCCTCTGCTTGTCCTCCACTTGCTCTTGCCTTCCCCAGCTCCGACTCCAGACGTGCGATCCTTTCCATTAAGGCCGCCACTACAGTTGTGGAATCCGTAGTCTGCCCCGTCGCTTCGGGCTGCAGGTTACTTGCCGCTTTCCTGGCGGCTGTTCCACTTTCCTTCGGAGTCTGTGGCCTCTGCCGATCACCAGCCACACTCGCAGAGCTGGTCGCGGTGCCAGTTGCTGTGGCCGTGGTGGTCGCAGTTGCGGGAACGCCCGAGGCTTCCAGCCTGGGGCTCCGCCTGGGTGAGTGATTCGTGGGCATCATCTTGCAGAGTGCGAATAAAAGAATTTGTCACCGCTTGGCCGATCACGGGAATGCCTTATAACACTCGCAAATAGGACAATTGTTGAAGTGATGTGTAACGAGCGTTTTATTCTAAAAGACAATTGTTCTTAACCTGATACATAATTACTTATCCTACATACCGCAGTTTCTCTTCCCCTTTCTGTGATGGCGCAAATCGTTGTGTTTTACCCGCCAAATATTGTATTCCTTTTTACCCGATTTTAGTGCGACCAAATAACCTAAACTAAATACTGACTTCATAAAAATCCTGACTATCGATAGCCTAATCCGTTCCGCGACATGATCTTAGTAATTTGGTCGTAAAATTTTTGTAAAGGTAACTGTTTTTGTTTTAAACGCTTACTTCTCTTTCAAAGCAACCGAAAGTAATGCAAGCTCTTCCCAAACACGGTCAATTACCCCCAGCTGAAGACACCCGAAACACTCAGATCAGTTGAAGACACCCGAAACACTCGAATCATTTCAAGACACCCATGTGACGTCACAGCTGTAGAGAGATTAGTATCCATATGGCTGGATTCCACTGGGATGCCAGGCGATTGCCAAGGGTATTCTTCCTTTTCACTGGGAAGTTATGTTGGGAGTTACTTATTCCGTTTCTACGGTCCTCAAGGAACGATAACCTAATTAAATAGTTCAAATATAACGTTAAGTGAAAGTCCAACAGTGGGGCCGTGCGAAATACTGTTAAATATCGTCAAGTCAATTCCTGAATTTAGCGATGTGCAAAGTTAATATGTAGCACGGCGCCAGTCATGTCATTTGGCTAGGTTAGCAATCGATCCAACCTACTAGCCTTGTCAATGGTTGATACGATGGAACAGATGGTGGAGGACTTCTTCGAGATGGAAAGTTGGATGAAAACCAGACTGATAAACACACAGTCAAGGAGGAGCACAGTGTGTACATCAGCGAGACGGTATTATGGACGGACTCAAAAAGGGTGCTGAGATGGATCGGCAGCACTCACCGCGGGTACAAACAGTTTGTTGGCAACCGAGTGGAAGAGATTTTTGGGTCGTTGAAGGATTCCCAGTGGCGTGCATAAGGATAGTCGTCTGCCATTGAAGCCCTACACCAAGGCGGTGCCTAAGCTGCTCATCGGTCTGGACCATGGACATTTGGGTTTGCCATTTAGGACGAGGCGGTTTGCCAGAGAGGGACCGTTTGCGGCCGCAACCGCAACCAGCCTACTAGCCGTGTCAATGGTTGATACGATGGAACAGATGGTGGAGGACTTCTTCGAGATGGAAAGTTGGATGGAAACCAGACTGATGGACACAGTCAAGGAGGAGCACAGTGTGGACATCAGCGAGACGGTATTATGGACGGACTCAAAAACGGTGCTGAAATGGATTGGCAGCATCCACTGCCGGTACAAGCAGTTAGTTGGCAACCGAGTGGCGAAGATTTTGGAGTCGTCGAAGGTTTCCCTGTGGCGATGGGTACCTTCAGGTGAAATCGCAGCGGATGATGCGACGCGGTCGCAGAATAAGGGAGACCTTAGCCAGGAATCACGTTGGCTCGCATTTTTGAAGGCAACCAGCGGGGCTCGCTTGAAGAGGGAAGCAGTTTTGGATTTGAGCGAAGCGGTTATTCACGGGGTCGCGGAGGTTGACGGTCAAACATTGTAATCGATAGGTAAAATAAGTATTGTAAGGAAAATGTACTATTTGTTAAGTTGTCCGATCTCGTATGGATTTGTTGGCCCTTGAAATGTCGGCTACTAGTCACGGTACTATGGATGCCGCCAAAAATATGCTGCGGTAATTCACAGAATAAAACGCTCACTACAGCCACGGCCTTAGGCCGTTGAAGTTAACCCTCTCTTCGTACCTACGCGTGTGGGCTAGTTGTTAAAGGCAACTCCATACGGTATAAGACAATATCTCTGCCATAAATTTGTATGTTGTCTGAACCTATGGGACCCGGAGCTTGATCCGGTTTGCCCTGATTTAGCCAATTTTTCTGTTTGATTCTCGAATAGGTATTTTGATTTCTGCTCGCGATTGGCATCGAAATTTTTTCCTTGACACTTGCCTCAGGCCTTTATGGAAACCCGTATTTTGATTTCTTTGCTTGACCGTCCTAGCATACGTGTCCGCAAATATGCTGCCTTCGATACTGCCTCTGCCTCTCTAGATAATGCCAATGCTGATGGCAGATCTCTTTTCAAGATCTCTTTTTAAGACCCGAAAAATGTAGCGCGAGTTATAGTATCGAGTCCTGCGGATGCGGTCCAAGGGAGATTCCAGTTCGTCCTTGATTGTCCTCAGGGCTTGATACCAAAGGTTTAGTTTCGTTGAGAGTTAGTTTGTGTGAAATCAAAAACAAGCGTCTTCTAGTTTCGAAGTAAATTTCTAGACAAACTTCATATATTGTTTAGCGGTGGCCGAGAAGCCGCCGCCGCCAAAAGTGTACATAAAAATCTTATATACTATACATAAGGGGTTATACACTAATGCAAGATCAAATAAAGAAATGTTTATGCAGCAATCCGTTCGAAATGTTCGCTTGTGTCATATTTCCTGTGGCGAGGGGTCGGGGCATCCTGTTGCGATGTCAACAAAATTTTAGCGGGGCAACGACTCGAGTGGGTTGTCGTATATTATCAAGGCAATCAGTTTGAACAGGATATGGTGTTCATAGTTAACAGTTTTTGAAATAGTATTTTTAAAATTTTTAAAAAAATGGTTAATTATTTGTTGTGCTTTATTAATATAATCCGTAATATTGACAAATCTTGCTTTAATGTCGTTGTTAATTATCTCCTGTTTGTTTGCGCTTTCAGTTAGTTCTCTTTGATTTTCTGTAATCGTTTTTAAGTTGTTATCAATTCTCGCCCGTCCGCGTCGTGTAAATTTCCCGGCACTATTTTTACAACTTTACCTAGTCCATTGATAAGTCCATGTCTTTGTCTCTTTTTCGGTAATAACATTTCTACTCTGACTTTTAGTTGCTAAAGCTTCACTCAATTGCGGCATTTGAATCTGACTTCTTTTCTAGCTGAATAATCGCTCTTTCGAAGTTAACCACGCCATCAATAAAATCCTCTAGATTAATTCTGTGTGTAAGGTATTTATGAGATTGTATAATTTTAACTGGTCCCAGATTTATTTTTAGCAAGGGGCTATTGAATCCTAAATGTTGGACTTTTAGGTCTTGGGCTGCCATTAACGCGAATCTGTAAGATCAATAGGAGTTGGGTTATTTTTAATTCTGAGTTTTATTTTAGCTTTGTGTAACTTTTGTTTTCTTGTAGATAATAGTGTGATTTTGTTATCTTTCAGTACTTTATGTTGGGAAAAGCGAGGAGTGAGTTTGTTTCTTCTTCGTTTAAGTAATCTGTTTGGAATTTTGATTAATGCTTTCGACTCCTCTTCGTTTTCCATTATCTTAGAAGAACGATTTGGTCTAATACGCAAGGGCATTTTCAACGTTGATGTCGTGAAGGTTAGCTAGTAAATATCATTTATTGTCGGGAGTTCAGTACGTATGTTACGCCAATTAGTCCTTCAAAGAATTGCTTAAGGTTAAATAGTAGAAAAAGGGAATTTTCTTTGATCATTAATCTCTTCTCTGTCTGTTATGTATTTAAAGGTTTATAAAGGAGCCCTCTGCACCCGTATCTACCACGAATTTAAATTATGTTTGTCTTTCAATGAGAGTTCTATAGATGGTAGTTGGGCGTCCAATCGAAAATTTGCTCAAGAAGCCTGTTTATGCTTTGAGGCTTTTGACTGAATCATTTCCTTCTTCGTCAATGTTATGTGTCGCCTCTGTTTCGTCTGTCTTTGTTTCGATATTAAACATTCTTTGTCCGTTAGTCTGGAATCTGTTATTATTGGGGATTATTTTAGCTGCGGCATTCGACGTACCAAGTGTGTCATCGCTTGCCATGATAGCCGGGAATCTTTGATTACGGTAATTACTATCGTAATTCGACTGGTTATAAGTAGTCTCGTTATTTCGATTGTAACGATTATAGTCCCTGTTCTGGGGCTAGTTATTGTCCCTATTTTGGTATTGGTATTGGTATTTTGACCGAAAGCGATCGCTCTGCCCACTCGACTCCTTTGTTTTGCAACTAATTTGTTGCATTTTCCGCATAGTATAAACTCCCTCTCTTTTACTGCCATGTCATATGCTTCCACTAATCCTGTAGGCTTAAAAGCTCGAACTATGCAGCTCAAATTTCCTCTTAGTCCAGCAAGGAAAGTTGTCAAGCTAGTTTGCGAAACAACTCTCTGCCTAACTCTAATTAACTCTGAACAAAGCTAATTTGATCTGTCACGGCTTGGCCGATCACGGGAATGCCTTATAACACTCGCAAATAGGACAATTGTTGAAGTGATGTGTAACGAGCGTTTTATTCTAAAAGACAATTGTTCTGAACCTGATACATAATTACTTATCCTACATACCGCAGTTTCTCTTCCCCTTTCTGAGATGGCGCAAATCGTTGTGTTTTACCCGCCAAATATTGTATTCCTTTTACCCGATTTTAGTGCGACCAAATAACCTAAACTAAATACTGACTTCATAAAAATCCTGACTATCGATAGCCTAATCCGTTCCGCGACATGATCTTAGTAATTTGGTCGTAAAATTTTTGTAAAGGTAACTGTTTTTGTTTTAAACGCTTACTTCTCTTTCAAAGCAACCGAAAGTAATGCAAGCTCTTCCCAAACACGGTCAATTACCCCAAACTTGACCGAATTCCTAAACGTAGATAGCGAGAGAGCGCGTTCTTGCTCCCCCTCGCTACCATCGATGTATCTACAGCCAAAGAGCGCAGCAACTAGCACCGCAATTTCTCTGACAACGTCAACCATAACAACAACAACAACCGCAACTGTAACGACAGCGCGATTAACGACGTCATCAGCTAGCAGCGCAAACATTAATATTTCTGCCCCTGCGCTGCCCGAAAAAGAGAACAAGAACAAAGAAAATAT